TGTTATGTAAAAAAAATACACAAAATAATTTATTTCAAAAATTAGTTTTAATCAGAATCAGTTGGTAAAATGTGAATCAGAATCAGCAAGGTAAAATGTGCATTCCATGCAAACAACATTAGAATCAGAATGAGGGGTCTGCAAAGATCACATTCTAATAGAGCTCAACTACTGTGCATAGTGGCATGACTACCGTAACTTTTTCTTTGGTCTTACTTAAATGCACAGAGGATGTATTAACCACACATCTTCTAGCAATGTGCTCAACTGGCAGAAATGATGCTGGGTATGACGTGTCTGTTCCCTGCAAGCCCCAAACTTCTATTGGCTTTCCATAAAAATGTCTGTCTGGATGGGGATGAAGCCATGTTTACATGATAGACGCAACGATACACGACTCTTCTCGGACTGCCATTCATAACATCCCTGTTAAATCTGCTGTGAAATATCTTGGTGTTCACATCACCAAAGACTTAAACTTAAATTTGTGGTCTCAACGTGACATATCAATTTTTGGTCGAACTTTCCTTACAAAAGTGGGATGTCTCTCAAGATTTATCTATCCAGCTTATTCCATATCCCTTCCTAAACATGCAATTAAAGCTATAAATCAAATTAACTTCAACTTTATCTGGAAAAACAAGACACACTACATTAGGAAAGGAGCAATGGTTAAAGAGTATAGTGATGGAGTTCTTAAAGCAATAGACTTTGAATGTTAAGACGGAATGATTAAAATGAATTGGCTCAAATCTTTTCTGAAAAATGAAAATAGTTTTTGGTTTCATATCCCCACCAAATTATTTATAGAATTAGGAGGAATTAACTTCCTCCTTAAATGTGACTTTGATCCTAAGAAACTTCCTATTAAACTTTCTTCTTTTCATCAACGCGTCTTACTTTATTGGAAACTAATATATAAGCATAATTTTAGTCCTCATAACACCCCACTATGGAACTCCCGATATGTCCTATTCAGGAACAAGTCTTTATTTTAGAAGAGCTGGCTAGAAAGTGGTATATGGTCGATAATGCACATTCTTGATGACAAAGGGAATTTTTTACCTTTTGAAACTCTTTGCTCTAAATTCAAAATAAATAACAGAAAACAATATAATATATTATTCAAAGCCCTTCCTCAGCCTCTGATCATAATGTCATTCAACCTACTCCTAAACCATGTCCAGGTAAAACTTCCCTCTCTGTTACTCAACGGTCAGTGTGTTATTGATAAAAAGCTGAGCAACAATGTCATACGTAGTTTGTTTGTCAGGAATTTCATCCCGATATATCCCACAGAAACCTAATCTCCAAGCATTTTCCAAAAGAGAAAGTGGGAAAACTGCAGAATAAATATCTACAGTTTCCTGTTGCTCCAAAGGTTAAAGAAGTCAATTTCAAAATAATCACTGACATTTATCTTTCCAAGGAAATTCTGAGGCTCCGTTTTGG